CCCCCCCCCCCCCCCACGGAGGAAATTTCTGTGCCGTCCGGAGGGGGAGGGGAGAAAAAAATGTTTCTGATAATTATTATAGTAAATGTATTAGGACATCCAAAGGGCATAGGGGGGGTGAACATCCTATTTCCTCTGTGGGGGCAGTATGGAAGTTTTCAGGAATGACCCATTTTGAGTAGGTGGCTGTGTTTATAAAATAAGTGGCTGCATGGGTGGGGATTGGGGGGGGGGGGCGTGGTCTAGGGAGTCCTAATGTCATCTAAATTAACTAGTGCATAATTGATTAGATAGCAACACATCTGAGCTCAGTGGCTAAATTATAATGTATCACTACTCTCATTCTTCAACAAGGTAACTTCAAGATTTAAGATGGCAAATAACTGAATCACAAAATACTGTTAGTAGTACGTCATTTTCAAAGAATAAACAGGCTGTTAAGAGATGTAGACTAGTTTGAGGCAAAATAAATAAAGGAGATCGGTAGAATTGACATTTCATGTACCGGTACTTACGAAACACAGTAAACGTCAATAAGCTTTGTGACACCCACCAAAGCTCTGGTAGCCTGTGTAGTGGCTCTCTCCGATTAGCTCTGGTGACAATCTGCTCTGGTGACCGCCGGCTTATTTTGAAAGGCTAGTAAACTATATCTACATAGTCTGTCAGGATTATCACACTCAACAGAACTAATTGTAGATGGAAATGTTGAGTGTAAATTTTCCCTGGGGGTAAGCTTACCAGCTTACTTACCTACTTAGGCCAGATTACCTTAATTAATTCAAAGTGCTTCTTGCTCAGCCTAAAAAATACACTGGAATGGAACGCTGCCTGCATAAAACAAACATCAGCTAATTTATCATCGCGGCCAAATAAATAGACATCTTTCGTCAAATCTAAAGTAAGAAAATGTGTAAGATACCAAATTGGCCAACCCGTATTTTTACCATCAAGGGGGATCGCTACCAGTACCTTCTTTGGCCCTTCACCACCTGGGGCAAAGTTGCAGGTAAGAATGTTGTCCACAAAATATATGGAGGGAGGGTAGTGGTGGGGGCAAACATTTTCAACATGTATGTCAGAGGTTTTGTTGTCCATTTTTAATACGACTCAATAACAGATGACAACTTGTCATCATTTGTAAAAAAATGTTCTAATATCAACATAAGAAATAAGATTTTATTTTTGAAAAAGAATGTGCTATAACTACACTCACCAAGCAATTCAAAACCTCGGCCATTAGGAATCAATTTGCCCCATCCTGCCTCAGCAGCCTCTGTCTCGTCTGGCTCTGAAAAATATCCATCCACTACATCTTGTGTGGGCAATGTAGCACCAGACTCCATACTGGAGGGCACAGATTGACTCGAAAGGGACCCACTGCCAGACGTAGAACTACTTGAAGTCATATTTTTTGTTTATTTTTTTGCTAAATAAGGTTCTTGCCCAAACACGTGCTAGAATCTTTATAGCTCAGTGGCATGGCTTTTTATGAAATACGAGCCTGTGGTAGGATATGTCCAGCAGTCAAGTTACCTGCTTACTTTGTGTTAGATAAATTAAATACTTTCGGTAGTATTTCGTGTTTGTTGTAGATTTTTGTTACTTGAAAATGTTTGGTAATTATATGGCAATTTTTCAGAAATTTTGGTATTGAACAAATTCATTTTATCAAACAACTTTTGGTATCTTACTGACTTTCATTGCTACAAGCTCGACATTGCGTTAGGGGAGGGGGATTTCATAGAATTTAGGAAGCTCAACATAGTTTTACATGCACGATATCAAAAGGGTATCAACCAGTTTTAATATGCCCAAGATGGTAGCAACAACAAGACAAAACACGACACAACACAACACAACAAGACACAACACGACACAAAACCACACAACCCAACCCAACCTAACCCAACATAAACACAACAATTTATATAAATGTTTATTTTATTTTATTTTATTTCATTTGAACTCATTTACAATGGCTTACATCTATGAACATGGGAAATCGGCCAGCAAATTCTACAAAATGTTTTAAACAAATTACATTTTTCCCAATAAAAATAAATATTATGATTTTTATATTAAATGTTAAAATATCCGAAAAGTATATTAAACATTATTTACAAAGTTAGTCAGCGTTTAAAGTAAGACAAACGCCTTGTAGTACCCAATGTGAGATGTGTTCTCTTGTTGCTAGGTCTGCCTCAAATGTTAGACCAACGCCCATTGCGTTACGACGCTGAGAGGTCGTGTACACTGGTGTTTGGAAAGTGTGCTGAAATAAAGAGAATAAGCAGAAAGTATGAATCGTTGTGAATCGTTAACTACGGTGGTGTTATCTCAACCCTGGTTTCCATGTGTGCGTAATGGTCGTAAAATAGAGTCACGGTCTTTCTCAACGACCAGTTTATAATAGTTTATACCTGTAAACCACATATAAATCATAAGTATTCTCTAGTTATAATCACTCCGCGTATCAGTTCCAAAATGTTGTATTTCGGCTGATGAGAAAGATCGTGACTCAATCTTTACGACCGTTACGATCATATGTAAACATGGCTTTAATTAACTAAACATTTACAGAGAAACTGTACGAATGAATATGATTAATAGAGAGTCCTCCACAAGACATGGAGGCTAGGGGCTGCAGGCCTATGCGTTAGTGTATAGTCGGGTAGATTCTACAAAAAAATCGGGCAATTTTTAGTGGGCCTTTTCGCCTCGGTGTAATGTATTTTGTCATGTCATTAAATTCAAAACGCATGCAGTAAAGTGAGGAGTTTTCGATGTATCCTAAAGAATGAAGTCCTAGGAATACTTGTAAAAAGTTCTACACTTTTTATTTATCGTTTTAAGATTGATTTTATTTCCTTGCGTAGGAGATGTGTTCCGTCTATGCATCTTCTATTCCTCTATCGATAAACCCATGATAATGTTGGGCAATTTCCATCAATGTCGGGCAATTGTTTTGTCCGCTCGCCTAGATCCTATTACCCAGCCCACAATTTTCTGAATCATTTTCCATCCTATTTTTTTTCTAAATTATTTAAACTCTGAAATGTCCGACTACAATTGTCTATAGAATGGTGTACGAGTTTTTCATTCCAATTTTACCCCCTCAGGACCTCCTGCTTTGTAAAAACCCATCTATAAACATACCTGTAGTTTCAATCTATGAGCCTCAATAGGAATGACTTTAAGAATCGGCAACTCCTCGACCAGCACCTTGGGCCTGGGACGGCGAAGACAACTTGCCTCAACGTCCCATGAAGCACCCTCAAGATACAAACCGCTGACAAAACAGCCCGCATGCGACCGTTCCTTGACGTCTTCGGGTTTCTCATATTGGGTGACAGTGGTATAGAGTGTTGATTTGTCCAATGGCCAGCCATTCTTACGGCAAGTGGCTTGGACTAAAGCTGTTAGGTAGGACTCTGGGATGTGTAGACCTGAGAGCCACATGACCGCTGGTTCACCTTCGCTCACCTGTAAATATTATACTGTATATGAGCCTGATAAAACCCTGGTCAACTCTTATTGACTCTCATCAACTTTGAGCTGGTTCAAACTATGATTAGAGTTGATGAGAGTTTCCGCTATGCGTGCGGTAATGTCCAGTCAACTCTCATCAACTTTCATGCAACTCTTGTTCTCGAGTGACCAAGACCTAAGAGTTGAGAAAGACCTAAGAGTTGGTTTGTCGGAAACATTTTTCGGTTTGTCGGAAAAGCACTGCCCTTGCCCCTCCCCCCCCCAAAAAAAAAACATGGGTCCCACGGCGCCACTGGTACTCATGCACCTGTCTATAGTGTATAAATACGGTATTAGATGAACTATCAGGCAAATATCAGAAACGATTTGTTCCTAGAACTAATACCAGTATACATCGCGTTATTCGTCAGGATAGTTTGTTTTGTGTTTACACTAAGACGGTTGACATTAAAACAATCTTTATAACGGTGATTTCTCTAAAGGTTTCAAAAGAAACAGCCACTCACCCATCTGCTGTATTGGTCGAATCGTTGTAGAAAATGTTCCATCCAACCGCCAAGCGACTTGAGTGTCGCAGGAGCTAGCTTGCGCCAGATGTTAGGTAACTGGCCATTGAATAAAGATTTCGCAACTTCATCTAACTCACTACTCATACCAACCTCACCAGCGAGGGCCTAAAATGATAAAACCAACATACTTCAATACTAGACTCTAGAAGGTGTTTGCTACACAATGCTTGCAACTAACCCCTCCCCCTCCCCATTCAATGTTGAAAACTTATAAATTGGCGAGGTGAAAGCTTTGTGAAATGCATATCAAAACCAACACTATGTGGGGGAGGGTGGGGCAAGACAAAGACACCAACATGTGTATGTGAAGAGTGATACTTTAGCTTACACTGCCCACAGAATTTTTGCCAAGATTGTAGTTTCAAATTATTGGGGTGAGGCCGACACCCCCCCAGCTAGCACAGTACGTAAACACAACGTTTTAAATTGGTTGTGGTTTGGTTAGGTCCGACCTAACCTTCAAATAACGTAATTAGAACGTTGTTCGTACACGACACTAATTAGAATGAATATCCTGACGTGAAAACTACGTTCTCATAACGTTATAGATTTACGGTTTCTACCAACGTCGAGAAAACGTTTTAAACACGTATGGGTTAACAGGTCGGTACGTGGCAACTACGTTCTTATTGCGTTACAGATTTACGTTTTCCGCCAACGTCGAGAAAACGTTTTAAACACGTACGGGTCCACAGGTCGGTACGTGGCAACTACGTTTTTATTGCGTTACAGATTTACGTTTTCCGCCAACGTCGAGAAAACGTTTTAAACACGTACGGGTCCACAGGTCGGTGCGTGGCAACTACGTTCTTATTGCGTTATAGATTTACGTTGTCCGCCAACGTCGAGAAAACGTTTTGAACACGTAGCCAAACGTTTTGAAAAGGATTAAACTTTCAGAGCAAGGTACACGTGTAATTACCGCTGTTCATATATCGACTGAGTCGAAATGTGCGTAATTCAAATCAAATTGCAAAGTATTTCACTTGCGCGAGTTGTTCGCTGAGCGTATAGTTTTTTGAGGCGAAGTTTACGGAAGAAATTATTCGATTTTCATATACACGTTCGAAGGTATGTATATGTTCAACAGTATAAATATATCTCTTCTAATGTAATGTATCTCTTCTTCGTGGAATGTCCATTCAAGTTGATTCAAGGTTTTCTAACATTTAATTATTTCCTCTCATGTAGTCCTTCCGACAGTTTGTTGTTGACGTTGTTGCATATACCAGCAAATTGTGTCATACGAACGCGGAACGCCACGACTTTATAGTCCAATGTAAGTATATATTTTGCTGTTTGGTTATATGTTTTTACTGTATTGCTCATTGCTGTACGTCTTGTCAGTTGATCTTTGATACGAGAAATTTTAAACACAAATTAGTAGAGGTTTCATGGTATGGACACAGCATGATGCATTTTTTCGAAAGGGCATGTCTTAAAAACCGGTAAATACTGTAGTTCATACATTGTATTACAGTAAAATGGATTCTTAATCTGAGTATTATCATATTTTAACTGCATACATTCAACATGTTTGCTGCATATTATTATAGACTCGTTTTTGATTATAAACATTCCTGTAACATGAGAACTATAGGGAAATTTGAATATATAAGGCGCTCATTAATACATCTATATTTATTCTCAATAGATTAATATAAATACATTGATAGTCTCATAGTCTAGTAAATGATAGATTAAAATCCCATGGTGGTAAAGGTAGCTACGAGGCATACAGTGACTTAGCATGAATAGATTAAATTGTCATAGTGTTAAAGGTAGCTCTATATATTCTAGTGGATACGCATGATACGCAGTCAAGTCGGTTATTTTGAGAACGAGG